GAGCTGGTAACCTGGCCTAGTTCCAACTGTCGCAGCTGTGCCGCCGTAAACTGCTTCGGTGCGGGCGCGGCCCGCATGGGTTTGGGATGGGCTGCTGAGGCGGCTGAGGCGGCGGAAGCAGGAGCCTTGCCAGTCGCCACGCCCAGAGCTCCCGCAAAGAAAGACGTGCCGCCGGCCACACTGCTATCCTTACCCTTACCCTTATCCTTGCCGCCGCCGTCGCCTCCCGCCGTCACGGAGGCTGATACGGCCGCTGGCGGAGGCGCAGCGGCGGCGGAGCCGGTTCCACGGGACGTGGTTGCAGCAGACGACTGAGTGTGGTTGACGCCGGCGGCGGCGCCGCCGCCGGATGGGCCTCGTCCAACGCCGCCGCCGCCGGCGCCGCTGCTGCCCCGGGTTCCCAGCAAAGGCGTCTGGCTGAACGGCACGCCGCCAATCACCTCCCCACCGCGACCGCCGTCGCCTGCGCCGCCGCCACCGCCGCCGCGCGCCGCCGCCAGCAGCCCCGGGTGCTTCTTGCTAAGGAACCGTACGACAGCTTCGGAGCCGCAGATCACCGCCCAGTTTATCGCCGCCACCATCGCCAGCGACGTCAGCACCTCTGCCGTACTGTCAGGCAAGTCTACGAGCGCCAGTGGCCAGCACACGGTCAGGCGAAGTGGCCACAGCAGTCCGCCGCCGCCGCCGCCGCCGCCGCCGCCGCACAGCGCCTTCCAGGACCTCAGCGCCGCCACCATGATGCTGATGAGCCAGATGGTCAACGCCGCCGCCAGCAGTTGCGCCCCCAGGTCCGATGCCGACACCGTACGGAGACCCGCACCCAACAAATCCGCCAGTAACACGACCTGGACAGTACGTGCAGTACAATGCCGTCGCATGAATGCGTACGAAACGCGACGTGATGAGAGAAATGAAGGGAAACGAAAACGTGCTTAAACGCCCTTTCGCGCCATCCCCAACTTCTCTCCCTCCCTCCCTCCCTCCCTCCCTCTGCAGGGCCTCTCGTACCATAGCCCTGAGCAACCCCTGCCCCCGTTCGTCCGTCTTCCTCCCCTCCTGCCGTACCTGGTCCTTGTACACCAGCTGCTGCGTCAGCACCGACAATAAATCCGGAGAAGGACCCGCCCCTGGAGCGAAGCCACTGCGCGCATACACGTGTGTACATATGTGAACACATATACATACAGACAACATAAAAGGGTGGGGAAAACAAAAGCTAGCGTAGTCGTGCAATAATTATTGGGCAACTAAACAGCAATGAGACTCGCGGTTGCTGAGCGACCTGCACAACACACCGCCGCTCCCCCTCTCTTCTTTTTCCCCCCCAAAAACATTCCCCTTTGCCTCACAACTCACAACCCAAACCACAACCTCTCCATTAACCACCCTGCCACTCAGTCAACACAAGTCACACAAACCACTAAAAGACCATATGGCCATATTCCAAACACCTGGAAGGGTAAAATACACACCCGCAAAACCCTAGCCGTACACACATCCCTCAGGGTACGAATATGCACCCACTCACGCTGCGGCTGCTGCTTGCGGGTGTAAGGGGGCGTTGTGAGCTGACGGCCCGGCCCCTCCGTCGACCTCCCCCGGCAGCACCCCGCCGCGGGCAGGTACGGCCACCTCGTGTGACGTCATCACCGCCGCCGGGAGACCCCCCGCGGGAACCTCGGACTCACGAATATCCGCCACGGACTGCAACGTGCCCAACACGGTACGGAAGATCTTGAATGTACTGCGCACGCCGGCTGAGAGTACCGTATCGAGTCGTGCCGTACCGCGCCGTACACGATGAGTATATATGTAGACAAAAAGCAACGGTAGTGATATTTGCGACGCAGGGGAAGGAGGGGGTGGGGGAGGGAGAGGGGGTGAAACGGCCGGACGGGGGGGCCGGGGCCCTGAGGGGTTAGGTTCAGGGGGGTTGAGGACGTCACAAGATAAGAGGGTTGATTTGTTGGAGTGACGTAGCGGTGTTACCCCAACCCCTCCCCTCTCAAGAGCGGGCCCCGGTTCTTTCCTTTCCTCCCTTCCCTTCCCCCTTCCCCTCTCCCTTCCCGCCCACTTACCATCCACTGCCTTGCCCACCACCGGCCTCATCATCCGATTCATGGCCGGCAGCCACTCCACATGAAACTGAATGTGAAGTACGGAAGAAGAAGGGGACCCCGCCGGGCTGCTGACGGGGGCCAGGGGGCCCCCATCCGTCGCCGCCGCCGGATGGGCCGCACGGAGGGTGTAGCGGAAGTACACATTGAACTTGTCACCGTACGGCGCTGACGTGGAGGATACGGCTTCCACGACGTACAACGTATCGGGGTAGAGCTCCGTGATGACCTGATGATGCACGTGGAGCAGGCGTCACCATCACCATCATCATCATCATCATCCCCATACCCATCACCACCCCCGGCGCGAACAATTTGTTTTCGCACATCCCCGGCAACAAAACATTAACACCAGGAGATTACCCAGTGGCCACCTTCTTCACCGGATCGCTCCAAAGTTAGTTTAGTTAACTCCCGGGGGGACGGGAGGGAGGGGGGAAAGATGAACCACGAGCGAGTGAAGCTGATGGCAGGGAAAGATTGACGCGCCAGAAGTAAAGAAGGCGTAACTAACCAGAGAGAGAGGGAGGGAGGGAGGGAGAGAGGGAGGAAGAAATCATCACATGACGCGAGAAAGAGATGATCACCCTTACCTGGACTCTACTGGACCCTCTTCACCTTCTTCGTATGTTGGGCCCCCCCTTGCTCCCCCCTTTCCCCCCTGCACCCCCTCATCAAAACACTAAGTAATCCGTGTACATACACACCCCACCCACCCAGCTCCATCCCACCCTTCAGTCAGTCTGTCAGTCAGTCTGTCAGCCGTACAGCTATCCAGACCCAACCCACCTGCGATTCCTCGTTTTGGAAGGGCTTGGAAGCCAGAGCGGTGGGTGGGCTCTCGAAGCGAACCTACAACCCCAGCGGCGAGGAGAGGCGAGGAGAGGAGTTAGCGGAGGACAGCGCCAGATTGGCAGAGCGGCCAAGAGGCGAGACAAGGACAAGGAGGGCAAGGAAGGAAGCGCAACAACAACACACCGCAAAGCAGTGGCCTCGCAGCTGCAGGAGGGGGATGGGGTCTACCCACCAGCGCCCGACTCTGCGCTCTTTCCTAAGTCAAAAGGTGGTGGTAGCACCCAGAGGTACAAGCCCCCGGGGGGCTGGTACCTCACGCCCGCCCAGTCGCGGACTGACCTTGCGGTGTCGTAGGGTGGCGGACGGCTTGTTGGGCGGGTCGGTCACCTGCCATGTGAAGAGCTGCGGCGGCAGGTCGTCCTTCGCGGGGTACCAGGGGGATTCCACGAGGTCGGTGTCACCGCGCTGCTTGTGGAGCTGCTCCTGGGGTTCGAATTGGAGGGGGGGAAAGGGAGGGAGGGGGGAGGGGGGGAGGGAAGAGGCGTGGGGGGGGGAGAAGGCGGGGGAAGGGAGGGGGAGTGTGTATGCGATTGAATGATTATCGGAGCCGCGATGAGGAAATGACGAAGTGGGGGTACACTGGAGAATAAATGTACGGAGAACACCAGCTCCCTAATCCAGCGACGTGTCTGTGTATGTATGTCGTTACAGGGTGGTTAACTTCGCCAGCGGCCCCCTTTCCCGGGGCAGTCCCTGCTCTCCCCTGCTAGAGGGGCACCCTAATCCGTCACCCCATCCGACTTCAGAATGTATTCGTTGGGTTCGGCAACTCACCACCAGCATCCAACCAAATCTAGCGGATCAACGGCGCATCAACTTAGTTCCTGGTTAGCTCGCAAGTTGATTTTATCACGTCCTACATCGTCCATGTGATGGGGGGCCACCTCCCTTTTCATCACTCCTCAAACACCCGAGGAGCCGGCAGGCGGATTTGAACCCGGGTCGACCGGGAGCAGAAGTCAGGCCTTAACCTCTGCCAGCCGCCTGCCTGTGTCTGTCTGTCTGTGTATGTGTGTCTGTCTGTCTGTGCATGTCTGTATGTGTATGTCTCTTGCGTATGTGTGTATGCTTTTTAAACGTCCATTTGCACACACAACACACAGAGCGCCTCGGCGCGGTGGTGACATGGGCGGCGTGTGGTGCTTGTTGGCAGTCGACATGGAGGCGCCCACAGCGGGCGGGGCGGGGCGGGGCGGGTTCAAAACATGTACATGTGTATGAGTTTCCGACGAACAACCGCAATCGGGCAACCCGAGGGAGGACCTCCCCCGCGTCAGACGAAAACACGGCAAATAGGGCAATGCTAAGATAGGGCGATTGACGGCATCTGGGTGACAAAGAGGGTGAGAGAAGGTAGAAGCTAGGCGTGCAAACAGGATCGGTGAATCGATGGGTTGAGCTTTCGAAAGAGGGCTGCATGGCTTGGCTGCACTTCGCTTCCCGCGCTGAAAAAAGGTGCCGCTGTCGAAACCGTTGTGTGAATAGTTGAGAATAGCCAAACCTTCGAACGTCCGTTACACAGGCAGCAGGGGCTCAAGGGAAGACGGGACGGGGGTCTACTTCGGAAAACCAATTCTGACTTTGGTCTCTCGGTTGCCGCTGGACAGCTGGTGGCGGGCACTTTGAAACGAAGTGCGCGGGGAGGGGAAGCACAGACATGCCATGCAGGGCGATCCCAACACGCAAATTTTGCTGGCTTGAAGGACATCTAACCGTGTAGCTCGGCGTAGGGCACCCGGCATATTGCACCAATTCCACGTACCGAGAGATCGCTCTCCCCGAACACCGTGTTGAACAGTTCCGCAACGGAGCATTGTGCTCGAACGCAAACGAGCGTCTTGGGGTCCGAGCCGTTGGGCCATATCGTGTCTAGCGGTATCGCCGAACGACCCATTTACATCGAACGACACTGGTTGCTCGTGACAGTGGTCAAATCCACAAAGGATTGCTATTAAAAATGTGGCCTGATTACGAATCGTAAGGCGCTTATTACTTGAGAAACATCCATGAATTCGGGTTTGGGCGTCTAAAGCAAAAGTGCAAACGGCAGAGTTTAGAAAGTGATATCAACAATCAATTAATATAATACCCCTGAATTTCAAAGCACGCACAGCTGCACAGCTAGTCCTTACGCTTCTGGAACACGTCATGCGTAGCTGCCGGACAATATGGCTTTAGTGTCCAGGTGACCAGATCATTCGATTTTTGATATATCAGTCGCTTGTACACGGCAAATTTAATTAAATCAATTAGAGCAACGCAGCTGCAACGGCGGCTTAGCGGGTCTACGTCAGTCCAAGCCATCGCGCACCAACCAACGTCGATGCCGTCTACCGCCAAGCTACAAACACATTACAATTTCCAGAGCCAGAAGCTACTGGGTCTCAGGTGCGATCAAATTAAAATGGCGCAGCTTTTGCGCACAACTGCCGTACTGCGGAGGTGGTGCTGCGTTTTGGGGACACTTTCACGCGGCGAACCCCAATCCCGCTGTGGTATCTTCCCTACTCAGACTCTCCCTTCATCCCTCGCCTTCTGTAACATTACTCCCTCCTTCCTAAGGCTTCGGACTGTCCTCCCCGTTTGCCGTGCGGTTGGAGCCAAGATGCAGCAACAACAGGCAGTGGTCACCAGTCCCAAGGCCCTGGGTGAGAAGGAGGACATTTCTATTTCAACCACACCAAAATCGGGATAAAGGGTGAAAGGGAGGGTGAGAATAAGAATAGAGAGGGGGGAAAGGGACGAGCATAGGGCAGCGGTGCTCTCTCCTCTTGGCAGGCTACGCCGATGGCTGATGGCTAACTAATTAACAGGCCAACTAACTAACTAACTCAGCCACTCGCTTTTATTGGTTCTGGTCCGGTGCTGGTTGGCCATTGTCCTTTTGGTGACAGGCCTGCCCCCTCCCCGCCTGCCGCCTCCCCGCCTGCCCCCTCCCCGCCTCTCTGATATCTGCTTTCATTCGCCAGTGGTTCATCTTAACACCCTCCCACCCACCCCCTACCCACCCCCACGCGTGCGCCCGTACCTGTACGGATCGGAATATGCCTCGTGAGAGGATGGGGGCGCTTTCCCCACTACTACCTGCAGGAGCAGGGGCTGGGGCCCTGAGCTGACTTTGCGGCCCCGGGCCCGTTCTCGGGTCGGCAGCTTCGACAGCTGCCCGTGTTTCAGACATTGGCTGCTGATTGTTTACATTTACCATCACCACCATCATCATCTCCATCACTTATGATTTTTCTTCACCTCACATACTTACATAATTTGATACTTACATATCCTTGATCGACACACACACACACACACACACACTTTCACACACATTTCCCCCTTCCCTGCCCTGGCCCCCGCAGGCAACTTCCTCGGTGTGCCCGACATGCCGCTACTTGGCCTGGGTCTGGCTGCCCTGGGCCGACCTGGCTACATCAACCTGGGGCACGGAGCCGACCTGACAGGTGGTTGGTTAGGTGGTTGGTTAGGTGGTCGGTTAGGTGGTTGATGATAATCTTCCCGCGAGGGAAGGTCGACCACCTGCGAGCTGGGCTAGCAAAACTAAGGTCATTAGAAGTAGAAGTAGCTGCTGGAGTAGAGACCAGGGAAAGGACAGCGGGAGCCTAAAGGAATTAAAACCCTAAAACCGTAAATGAAACCCTAAAACCGCAGATGAAACCCTAAACCCTAACCGTAGATGAAACCTAAAAATCGTAGATGAAACTCCTATAACCGTAGATGAGAACCCGACCAAGACTTCTAGACACACGGGACAGCGAAACGCCTCCGCACACTCCCTCCAGAGGACCTCCCTCCCCACCCGCCACCCCTTTGCCCCAACACACAAACACACACACATACACACCTGGCCAGGCAAGAGTGTGGATGAGATGCAGGGCAACTGTGCCCAGGTGCTGTCCGCGGCCCTCCAGCTGGGGCTCAGGTGGGTTGGGGGGGTGCAGCGTGTGTGTTTCGGGGCGTGCGAGTGTCGGGGGGAGGGCGAGGGCGAGAGGGAGAGGGAGGTTGTGAATCCCCGTGGTTCCGGATTCATCGTCTCCATCTCCCCCTCCTATGGGTGGGCAGTAAGGGTTTTTATATTCCCAGCAGCCTGTGTGTGTGTCTGTATGTGTGTCTGCATGCTTCTGTGTTCTGACCCGCGGGCGGGAACTGACGAGGACGGTACGGAAGTAGTCACCGGTGAAGTGGTAAAAGATCCCCCGAAGTCTGTCTGTCTGTCTGTCTGTCTGTATTTATGTGTGTTTGAATTCTTGACCCCGGGACCATACACACGAAGTCCGGATCAGGGTCAGGCACGTTTTTCGCACAAACCCTTTCCCGCCCTCGGCTCCGGGGGTTTAAGAGTTTCCTGTCCCCTGACCACCCTGATCCGGAATTCCACCAGCTATCCCCTTCGACGTGTTTTTGGCTCCTTGCGGTTCCCCCTCCACACTCACTTCACTCGTTTGTGGTTCGTCTATACCTTGTGAAGCCCCGCTTACTCCATTTGCCAAAGACGGGACAGCGGGTCTAGTCAGCCAACTAACGGTTCCAACGGTTCCCTAACCGAATGCACATAACGAACGTACACAAAGGTACTTTGACGCCGCTCGTAGCTACGGTCGTGCGGAGGAGTTCTTGGGGTCCTGGTTGGAGGGACTGGTTCCGGAGCAACTGTGTCGTACAGTGGTGGGCTCGAAATGGGGTTATTACTACACGGCGGATTGGCAGGTGAGGGACTTCCTGACCTATGTTAGTTAATTTATTTAAATAAAAAACGAATTTCCAGATTTAAGAGCTACAAATAATAAATTTAACAATAAGGAGTGTTAATTGCAAATGGCGGTGAATATATGAATATATCGTTATAGCTAGTTAGTCAGTTAGTTAGTTAGTTAGGCCACTCTGAGCAGCCTTTCCCTCCTTGTCCTAACCCCTTGCTCCTCCCTCGCACGAATTTACACATACACATACACATACACTCATCCGCACTTCCGCACACACATACAGATCGACACGGCGGGTCAGCCCCACGAGGTGAAGGAGCACACCGCCTCCAACCTCCGGAAGCAGGTCCTGGAGACCTCCTCGCACCTGGGCACCCGCCTGAACCTCTACCAGATACACTCGGCGACACTGGAGAGCGGAGTGCTGGATGCGGGTATGTATGGCTGCGCGCGTGTGTGCGTGTGTGTACGTGTGTGTATGGCTGCGTATGTGTGTGTATGTGTGTGTGTGTGTGGCTTTGGCTTTTGCACCCGTGTCGTCCGTGTTGTGTTGTGTGGTGTTGTGTTGTGTGGTGTTGTGTGGTGTTGTGTGGTGTTGTGTGGTGTTGTGTGGTGTTGTGTGGTGTGGTGTGGTGTGGTGTGGTGTGGTGTGGTGTGGTGTGGTGTGGTGTGGTGTGGTGTGGTGTGGTGTGGTGTGGTGTGGTGTAGTGTAGTGTAGTGTAGTGTAGTGTAGTGTAGTGTAGTGTGGTGTGGTGTGGTGTGGTGTAGTGTAGTGTAGTGGAGTGTGGTGTGGAGTGAGGTCCCGCCCACCTTCTAAACCATGTCATTGCTGCTGCAACTGTTGCTACTGCTGGTACTGCTACTGCTGGTTTCCCCCTACTGCCCCGAGGGGCTTACCTGCTCCTTCCGGGGCCGTGTGCCCCCTCCGGCCCCCGCCGGCCCAATGCCGGTAGTTTTTCGGGCGCAGTTGCACCATCTCGTTGGATTTGTTGGTGCTTTTTGATCGTGTCCGTTGCAACTAACAACCTGCCCCCTCCCCCTTTCTACCCCTCTCTCCCCCTTTCCCCACTCCCTCCTCCCCTTTCTCTCCCCCCGTCCCCCCTTTGTCCTCGACTGTGGGGGCAGCTGACGTCCTGTCGGAACTGGAGTCCGTCAAGAAGCAGCGGGGCTGGAAGATGGGCCTGTCCTTGTCGGGTGTGTGTGGATGTGTGCGTGTGTGCGTGTGTGCGTGCGTGCGTGTTTGAATGATGTGTGTATGTTTGAATGATGTGTGTTTTGTTGGGGGCGGGGGCGGGAACGGAGGGGGGGGAAGGGGCGGGGGACTCGGGGAATATCGTATTAAGACGCCTGCTGGGTGCCGCTCATCAGGGTGCGTTACAAAGCAGTTAAGTTAGTTAAGAGGTTAGGAACGGAAAGCAGGGGATCGCCCTTATTGGGGAGGAGGATGGGAGGGGTCCCGTTTTGTCGGCGGTTGTAGATGCATGGAATCTTCCACGCGACGCTTAGCACATCAGGGACTCATCTGTGTATGCATGCGTGTTGCTTTCCTTCCCGCACGCCCTCCTGGCTTTCCCCTTCGGAAACCCCAAACACCGGGGAAAACCCCCCTCCCTTCCCCCTCCCTTCCCCCTCCCTTCCCCCTCCCTTACCCCCTTCCAAATTCATTCACCCTCCGTATTGCCGGTTGTCATTATTTCACCGCCTCTCCTCGCCCCTCACACACACACATACACACCGCATCCCCCCCACACACACACGCACACACACATACACACACGCACGCAGGTGTACAGCAGTCGGCTACCCTGCGCAAGGCGATGTCGGTGCGCATGTCGGACGGCACCCGGTTGTTCGACTGTGTCCAGGCCACATTTAACTTGTTGGAGACCTCGGCCGGTGAGGGGGGTGCCCTGGGGGGTTGAGGGGGGGGAATTTGCGCCCGGTGACGGTGTCGGTGTTGGGTTTGGGAGGAGGGCGTATGCAGGTAGTACAAAATGCGTACAAGGAATCCGACGTCTAAAGAGCCAATTATGGTTGGATAGTGGGTGGGTGGTTTACGGATGGGAGCTGGGCAGGCGGGAGGGAGGGGGGGAGGGAGGGGGGAAGACGAGCCACGAGCGAGTGAAGCTGCTGCCAGGGAAAGAGTGATGCGTCAGATGGGGAAGGGAGGAAAGGCGGGTTGGTCGCGGGTTTCTGGGGTTTGTTCCCTGCCTGCCCAAGTTACTTGTCCCGCGCTGTGTGCTTTCCTTTTACGACTACCTCTCAATTATTCTTCATGGCCGGGGTGGTGGTGGTGTGTGTGGGGGGGGGCCGCTCGTGGCGGCGGGTTGCGCCGGAATTACTCTGACCCGGTGACATACATACATACAAACACATGCAGGAGGTGCCCTGGCGGAGGCAGCTGCCGCGGGGTTGTCGGTGATTGTCAAGGAGGGCCTGGCCAATGGGCGCCTCACACCCCGCAACACCGACCCGGCGTTTGCACCCAGGCTGGCTCGCCTGCAGGCCATGGCGGATGAGGTACGGCATGTACGAAACGTGACTGAGTGTGAGAACAGTGGCACGTGTCCGGGGTTTAGCGGTGGTGCCTGTGTGTGGGGAATGGGTGGGGGGGATGGTGCGTAGGTGTGTTCGTGTGTGTGATCGATCACCACACACACACACACACACACACACACACACACACACACACGAAGCGAACTCCCTTCCACATTAGCACACCCTGGCGCACTCGTATACACGCGCTCATCCATCCATCCATCCATTCATGCATGCATCTAGACATACATACATGCGAGACTAATGCATATCTCTGTTGTGCTGATCTTGCGAAGTCGTAGCTTGCTACTCCTTGTTGATGTTGTTACAGGGTGGTTAACTTCACCAGTGGCCTCCTTCCCGAGGCAATTTCCTGCCCTCCCCTGCTAGAGGGGCCCCCTTATCCATTCACCCCATCCGACTTCAGAGTGCACTCTTTATGAGTTCGGCAACTCACCACCAGCATCCAACCAAATCTAGCGGATCAACGGCGCATCAACTTAGTTCCTGGTCAGCTCGCAAGTTGATTTTATCACGTCCTACATCGTCCACAAGATGGGGGGCCACCTCCCATTTCAACACCTCACACACCCGAGAGGTCGGCAGGCGGATTTGAACCCGGACACTCCGGGAGCAGAAGTCAGGCCTTAACCTCTGCCAGCCGCCTGCCTCCTTGTGTCTTGCTGCCATTACCACCACATCGCGCGCTGTTGAAAGAGTGTGGGTTTCGGGTTTTCCCCCCAACCCCAACTCTCCACTGCGTTCCGCTTCGTGTCATCCTGTGGGAACCCCAGTACGGCACCACAATCGATGCGCTGGCGTTGGCGGCCATCATCGTACAACCTTTCCGACCCATGGTTCTGTCGGGCGCCACCACAGTACAGCAGCTGAGTTCGAACGCGGCCGCGCTGGAGGTAGCTGGCAGGCTGCAGGTACGGCGCGGCGAGTGTGTGAGCGCTGGCGTGTGCGTGTGGTGATCGTAGGCAAGGTAGGGGGGTGCGAGGGGGTAAGAGGGGGAGACCAGCCGACCCCTGCCTGACGGCCTGGGGCCGCCCTCACCCCGGGGGATGCCTTTTTTCGCGGTGTGTGTCTGTGTATAACGTATCGATCCGCGCCTGACACTGGCCAGGGACACATAACAATATGCCCCAACGGGAACGACCGGCGAGGCACTCTCCCCCTAGCGGGAGGAGAGGGGCGTGAAGGGCCACAGTCCCCTCCTGCTCGTGTGTGTGTGTGTGTGTAACCTTGTTTTGCTTTTTATGGTTTGCCTGAATTATAATAATTAAGAACATTGATAAAGTTATTCCTCAGTCGAATTGAAATCATGTTTTGGTCCCGGGTGGTCTCACTGAGCAGTGCACCTTCATGGTCCCCCCGGCCCCGGCCCCGGTCAGGAGTCTGATGTGGCGGCGCTGGTTTCGGAGCTGTCTCAGCCTCCTGAGCAGTACTGGGCGGAGAGGTCGGCACTGGCCTGGAACTAGAGGGGCGCGCGTGTCGCTTTGTGCGTGCCTGTGTTCGGTCTGGTGGTGAGGGGGCGAGCGAGGGGGGCCGGGGGATGGAGAGGAGCGGGACGTGGAGGGGTGCAACAGTGTGTTGATTACAATCCACATCAACCCCATCCTGAGCGGTGATGCGGTTCGAAGCACCGCCGCAGCTGTTTACCTTGAAGAGAGCATATTACATCCTGAATAGCAGTGGATGCGATCCCAGGAAAAGGAGAGACCTCCCCCGAAGGAATTACGAGAGGTAGAGAGAGAGGGAGAGGTAGAGCGGTGAGTGCTATGGGCGGGGAAGAAAGCAGAGACCAGACCAGCACTGGTGGGCTGGCAGAGGAAGTTTAGGCACGTGCATAAGGGCGGTACAGGGAGACTGCCGTACGTTCTACGGGTTTTTGATGTAAAGGGCGGACGAGGGCGGAGAAAGCCACGATGTGTTGGTTGGCGGTTGTGACACTCCGGTTGCACCGGGTGCAGGGAGAGAGAGTGGGACGTGAGTGGGCGTCTCGTTCCGGCACGGCAGCGAGAACGCATGAGCAGATCAGTACATCCCATTTAAGGGGAGAGAGGGAAAAAGAGAAGAGAGAGAGAGAGGGAGAGAGAGAGAGAAAGAGTCAAGGTAGATAGCACAACAGGGTAACCAGCGGTGATATGATGAGCCTGATGACAGATATGGTCGCATTGCATGGAAGGGGAATGTTGTGCGGTGCCCAGCGCATCCATTTTCCCGCCTTGCCTCTTTATTAATGTTTCCCAGGGTTTTCTAGGGTTTCGTCCGTGGAGAGTGAGAATGAGCGCACGTCTTGTGCTGTGCTGCACTTGGCTTTGCAAGGCAGGGCTCCAACACACGTCGTGCAACACTTTATATATTAAATCCTGTCGTCAGCAGCCGTGGCGCCGAAAGCAGCGGCACACCCATATAGCCTCCCAAGGTCTAAATCACACACTCGAGTAGTGGGCGTACGAGGAAATCTGTTTGTCCGTACACATTCCGTACGCGCAAACATACACACACACCTTCGGCTCATAAATACACCAAAAGATCCAACGGCAGCATTAGCATTAGCTTAATCAGGGACATCCCTAGCAGCAGTTTGTAGCGACAGAGCCCAATGATGGTCAAAGAGAATAATGAAAACGTTAGGCAAGTCCGCAGAGTTTTTAAAATGCCGGCTGCCGCTGCCCGCATCCCCCTTCCGTTTCTGTGTCGACCGCCGACCGGGGGTTGCCTGCTGCTGACATTTTTTCGTTTTACCTGCATACAAGTCGTTCGCTGCGAAGACGTCCAGGCACCAAACAAACAAGCTAACAAACATGAGCTACCAGCGTGGACGCGAATGTACACCATTATAGCCACGAACAACAAACAAAACTATAGATGAAGACATATAAGAAAGAGTACGGCATCAACAAGATACAATCACACAAAAATGCAATCCTTAGTTGCGTGAGTACTACAAGTTACACCGCTAAAGCCAGGTATTTCCTCCGCAGTCACCGCCTCCCGCCCTCCACACACATACATACACACACACACCTCTGCTAGCCCACCCCCGACACCTTCCCCCAACCCGCGATTCCGACCTTCACACCCTCACCCCAGTCATACACAACCATTGAGCTCCCGGCGCTCCCGGGGTCAGGTCGCACAAGGAGAAAACCCACCTGGTGCCTTCGACTCTGATTCGTACCCACGCGTTCGGGTGCGCATCCGCGCCTCACCCGAAGGTTCTCAGTGCCCTTCTCAGTGCCCCTTACCCCCCACAGTCACCTTTCCCCCCCTCTCACAGTTTGCTGACCGGGCCCCCAGCCCCAGCTCCCCCTCCGGCCTTCTCCTCCGTTGCCAGCCCCACCGCCCTGCTCCTCCCCTCCACCCCCCTGGACGCCCTGGACACCGCCCGCCGCTCCACCAACTGAGGCCGCCACATCCAGGCTGCTCCGTCAACCACCAGCACATCACCTGGGGCAGGGGGAAGAGGGTATGGATGTATGCATGTGTACGCATGTGTACGCATGTGTATGTATGTATGTATGTATGTATGTATGTATGTATGTATGTATGTATGTATGTATGTATGTATGTATGTATGTATGTATGTATGTATGTATGTATGTATGTATGTATGTATGTATGTATGTATGTATGTTGTTACAGGGTGGTTAACTTCGCCAGCGGCCCCCTTTCCCGGGGCAGTCCCTGCTCTCCCCTGCTAGAGGGGCACCCTAATCCGTCACCCCATCCGACTTCAGAATGTATTCGTTGGGTTCGGCAACTCACCACCAGCATCCAACCAAATCTAGCGGATCAACGGCGCATCAACTTAGTTCCTGGTCAGCTCGCAAGTTGATATAATCACGTCCTACACCGTCCATATGATGGGGGGCCACCTCCCATTTCATCACTCCTCAAACACCCGAGGAGCTGGCAGGCGGATTTGAACCCGGGTCGACTGGATCGACTGGGAGCAGAAGTCAGGCCTTAACTTCTGCCAGCCGCCTGCCTATGTATGTATGTATGTATGTATGTATGTATGTATGTATGTATGTATGTGTGTGTGTTCCTGGGGTGGGAGGATAATTAGTGGTTACCCGGTAAGTCCCCCCGCGATGGGTCCCACAGGCAGCCGCGCAGCCAACACACGACAGCAGCGCCCGCATCCCCCCAACGGAGCTGTAAAGGATCAATTGGCCAAGATGCAGATGAAGGAGGAGGAAGGAGAAGGCTGGCCCCCTGCAGAACCCCTGCAGTCGACCGTGCCAGCACCAGCACCGGTACTTGCACTTAGATGCCTTCGTTTTCCTTCCTTCCCGTTTTCCTCGTTCATCCCGACAACTCCTCACCCGACACAAAGGCGGCCGCAGGCGACGCCAGGAACACCACCGCCATGGCAATATCCCACTTGCGACCCATTTGGTTCCGGAGCGGAATGGTGGACTGTACGAACTCCTTAGCGCCGGGAGCCAACTTGGCCATACCTGTGGATGGCGGGGATTAGTTAGCGGATTCGGGTTGTTATGGTGGCGATGGTGATGGTGATAGTGGCGATGATGATGATGATGATGATGATGATGGTGAGGAGGAGGAAGACGAGGAGGAGGTGGGGGGTTTACTAGGATTACACCCACCAACACCGGTAGCCGGCATGATTTCCTCTCCCTCCCTCCCTCCCTCCCACCGTGTCTAATCAACCAACTTGCCAACCACACCTTCACCCACCCGCACAGCACCACCCGCTCGCCCACTTACCTGCCGTCTCCTCGATGGGTCCGGGCGCAATGCCATTCACCCGCACCCCAAACTCGCCCCACTCAAGCGCCAAGCTGCGAGTGAGGCTGTCCACTGCCGACTTGGCTGCGGAGGCGTGCGCCTGCCACCAGGTGGCGCCGTACTGCAGGGTGGCGGAGATGTTCACCACTGCGGCCCCCGAGGGGCAGCGAGAGGCCTTCAGCGCGGGGAAGGCGGCCCTGCTCGTGTTGAAGGTACCCAGAGCGTCAATCTCCATCACTTGCGGTGGTTGCGGTGGTTGCAGCGGTTGTGTTGTGAAGTAGAAAAGGGGAAAAGTAGAGAAAGAGGGGGTTGGGCGTGTGAGGCTGGGTTGGGGAGCGTGGCGGGGTGGCACGGCAGGCCAGTCACGTGGATCCTTCCTCCTATAGCGACTTGCTCTCGTGTGTGACACAATTCCTCGGCACTTCCGTCTCGCGGTTCAACACACACATTCACACCGACAGAACGGAGCCTCCAGCCCCTTTCCCAACCCGCCACCGCACACCCGTCTTGAAGCCGTTGGGCGACAGCTCCTCTGCGGTGGCCAAAAAGTTCCCCGCCGCGCAGTTGACCAGCACATCCAGCCCCGGGCCCCAGCGCTGCTCCAGGGAGGCAATCCAGCCCTCGCACGAGGCAGCGGAGCGCACGTCGCCCTATGGGGGGAGGGGGACGGTGGCGAGAGGGGGGTTAGAATGGCGACACACGGCCGTTTTAAGTTCAGTGCACAGGTTCAGCAGGTTTACATACATACATACATACGTACGTGCATACATAAACATACATACGTACATACATATTCATATAACAAAATTGCATAGCTTCAGGGACTTCAATGCGCTGGTCATCATCCGGTAACATTTAAGCCTAGTCCTAGTTTTTAGGGGCTTCGGCCCTGGAGTAGTCGGAGGTTTACAAATAGTCCCGGAAGTCTTCCCCTAATGGGGGAACCCCCACACTGGGCCATCTGTGAGAGACTTAAATTCTAGCAAAAATGTCCTGCTGCCATAATTTATTTCACGGCAGTAAAGCATCGGATTGGGTGTTGACTTGTCTGGGCCCTTCTTGATGTCCCCTGAGTAGCCCCCTACCCTCCTTATCCCCTCCCGGCTGTGTACCTGCAGGCCTAAAGCGGTGATGCCCTCCGCGGCCAGTGCGGCCACCGCCGAGTCCAACACGTCCTGGCGCCGACCGGAGATGGCGACACGGGCGCCGTGAAGACCTGCGTGGGAAGGGGGTTTCGGAGCGGTTGGAGGAGGGAAGCAAGAGCAGGGGGAAAGAAGGGGAGAGCCCAAAACATTCGGGTTGGAAAAGGAAGAGGAGGACTTGCTCGCGCGCATTGGAGTTGTGGTCGTAGCTTCAGTGGTGATGGTGGGTCCAGGAGCGGGAGGGGTGCGACCCAGTGGCTATTTTGGTGGCTGGACGAAGAGGAAGAAGGGAATGAGGGTGCAGATCTGATAGGGGTATAACAGTACGATGGATAGGGCTGCCAGGATTGCACGTGACGACTCATATGCGGCTCCTGGAGTGAAGCTGGACGAGCAAAGCATGCTGTTAAGGTTGGTGTGCGGGTGTGTGTGACGATGCCCTTCGATGCCCCGGGTCCTCAGCTAAGGACGGCGATGACAGCACCAAAACGAGCTCACCCAGCTGACGCGCTATCTCCAGGCCAATTCCTGAGCTTCCACCAGTTACCAGCGCGACCTGGAGTGGGGTCCTTAGGTCAGCGAGATGGTTGGAGCACCACATATGTCCCGCTACTTCGTCCTCACCCTGCCCTTGAGGATATCTGGTTTGAAGGGGGATTCCATCGTAATCGGTAATTACTAGGCAGGGAAATTGAGTTGTGCCCAGGAACCCCTATCGTTGTGACAGGTCAGCAACGCGTCAAGAGCAAGAAAACCTGTGGCCGAGCACCTGGATGCGTGTAAGAATTACGGATAAAAATACTTGAAATAAGAAACGAGTTGCAATTTGCCACTGTGTAGTTCCGAAGTTCCTGCTGCGCATGCTGACGGTTCGACCCATGTACGACCAGTACTGAAGACCAGTTCAACCCTGCTCTATGCAGATTCAAGTAAATTGGAATTTTAAAAGGACTATTTAGGCTTAGGGTTAGCTTGTGCAGAGCTACAGCAGGGGAGAACCCTTAATTGTAAATAAAAATATGTCTCTCCGCTGTGGGAAGAAGCGTAAGCTTATAGTGGACCACGAGGCTGAGAAAAGCATCTATGGAAGTTTTGTTTCAGCTGCCAACGCCGTCAGCACGCTGTACTCACAGGCCGTTCAGCAGCAAAGGCGCGCCTCGGCCCAGGCGTCCAGGCAGGCGCTGGTGCGTTGTTTGCACTATCTTTTCTGCCGTCATATTGTCGCTCGTGACCGTTGCAGCAGCACGTGTAGAAAGGATTCGTCACTCCGGAAAGCAGGCCTTCTCCTGACAGCCTCTTTTCCTTTTTATGCAGGAGCGAGTAGTAACCTTCTTGCTTGCCCAAAACCCCGGCTCGGAAATGGTGTCCAAGGCAGTTCTTCTCAATTTCTTGCAGCAGGAGTATGAGGTGTGTTCTTGATAAGCATAGTGGAAACAGGCAGGAAATTCATGGTGAAATAGATGTTCGTGGTCAAAGGACGGGGAACCGGTTACACGGGGTTGCATTCTTGGACGACATCGGCGAGCGCAGGCAGTAGCATTAATTGCTTACTGCTTGTATGCTCGGTTGCCTGTAGAGCATTGAAGGTGGTGAGCACCTACCGCACGTCTTCCCGGCCCCGCAGTTGTCCGTCGTAGGGCCAGGTATGTCGTATGTGGCTTTGGGGAGACGTCCCGCCTTGCAAGTCTGGGGACCTCTGGGGCATAGAGGGTGCTGAAGTCGCGAGAATCTTGCAGGATGCGTTCATGTTCTTTCCCAACACAGATTTCCTCCCAGATATTCCCCGTCACGGTTGGACGGTTGGAATGTTGCCAACTTGCGTGTGATTGTGTGCGTTTGAAAGGTCGCCCCTGCCCAAGTTGGCAGGTCCAACAATAAGCCCAAAGCTCCCATGACCTGCAGGTCCTCCCGCTGGCGAGCTGCAGCCGGATCATTCCGGGTTTACAAGCAAGGCCATGCGTGGTGTCGGCGGGTATTGCGGCGCCTCCGGAGTCAGCCCCTCTCGGCGGCAACACAGCGGCGGGATGGACGGTATGGATGCTTCAGACGGCGCCACGCAGCCACTGGTGGAGCCGCAGCCGCCCGCACAACAGGAGCTTCATGGGTTTGGGCCTTTCCCAAGCGGACCGGCGTTCCCGCCGCATATTGGGTAGCAAGCTGAGCCGAGAGATGTGTAAGGGATTTGATCATGAGCGCTGTATAGGGCAGGCGCGGTATTAGGGGCAGGCGGTTTAATCCTAGAGATGTATAGTTTGGGAGTGTGTACTTCGTCTCTGTAGTGTAGGGCTGTTTTCGGGATTAAGGGTTGCAGGAATAGGGATCCTGCCCTGCAGGTGGCGTCTCAGCTGTCAGTAATGCAGCCATGACGGAGTTTTTCGTACAGTTGAAGCGGTGGTAGCGAAGAAGATTATACTTCAAGGCGTCGGACAACCTAGGAACAGACAAATACTTGCTGCCGCCGCAGGATTTGCTACTTGCGCCGTGGTCTTGTATTTACTGCGACCAGGGTGTAGGGTTTAACTTGGTTTAAGCTATGATCTGCGGTTATACAGGACAACTTTCAGTGCAAGTTGTACTACTAGTCTGCCTAGGCTACACAGTTCGCTTGTTATTTCAAGGGTGAAGTGTTGAACAATGCCGGATGTGCCAAGAGGGATGCCATCATGTCACAGGTTTTAGCGACACTTGTTCTTCTATATTGCAATCAAGTATCATTACAGGATAAATAACAAGATATCGTAGCTCGAGACAACTTTCGATGTGTTGTTACACTCACAAGAGCATGGTACGTCAGCCAATATCAAGCTTATTGGATTGACACACTTATGTCCACCCTGGCACACACCTGGGACTGAAACCACATCGCCGCAACTACCCTGAAAAAATTACTATAATTGACGCTGTGACTTGCTTTAACACTACCATTTATATGTACGTCCTCCCTGAAATCCACATCCAGTCACACGTAGCCAAACTGAGCCGTTGGCGTTAGAGAAGTTCTATCGTGCATTACGCGAAGAGAATGAGGAAGACAACCAGAAGCGAGAACAGGGCAATAGATTCCGTCAGGGCGAAGCCCAGCAGTGCGTAGCCCACCAGCTGCTTGGCGATGTTTGGGTTGCGCGCTGCGCCGTTGATGAGCGAGCCGAACATGACACCCAGGCCAGCACCCACACCCGCCAGAGCAATGGTCGCGCAGCCGGCACCAACCATCTTGGAGGCAGCCAGCACGCTCATGGCACGCTCCTGAACCAGGGAGTTCGGCAGAACTGCCTGCTTGTGCAGCGACATGGGGCTCGCGGCAGCCTGGGCGCGGATCCCGCTTGCAATGGCGCTAGAACTGGCGGCCATGATTGGCGCCTGCGCGGCAATTAGAATCGTAGTATTAGCCCTTCCACACATCTTTCGAACTTGGCTCCGCAACTGGGATAAAGACGCGATTGCGCACATACCTGAATCACAGCTTGCGGCTTGGCTACAAAAGTGACCTACATGTTCAATCAAAGTCACGCTGTCAGCGAAAGTGCTCATCAAAACTGTGACCGCCCGTGTATCACCGCTGAAAGCGGCATAGAAACCCCGGCGAAACTCAAATGCATACACACCTTGTCCGAGCTGGCGGAAGCGCTGGCGCCTGTAAGCACAAAACCGGAATGCCGCGTAAGCAACCTGCTGAGTGATTGGCCGACTACCGGAAGGAGGGACCCACGCTTACCGACAGCCGCCATGCTCTGGCTCGACAAGCCGCGCACAAGCTGACCATTGAAGCCACGCAGGAACAGCTTAGCAGTGGCGGTTTGCAGCGACATCGTTACGCCGGCCCAAGGTAGCTGATCAGAACCAAAATTGGCACGCCAGTAAGCGACAGCTACAGAGAACTTCTGCAAAGCAGTCTAAAATGCACTAACTTAGAATATTGGTGACGGTTTACGTTTAGGCCCCATTCCGGGCACCCTCCTGGAGCCTCCACGATTGGGATGTAGAAATGTAGAATGCATTCATCTTGCACGGCTTCAGAGCAGCCGAGCTTAGCGTTGTGTTCAGTCCTCAGTGGAAACGTGAGTGTTGTAATAGTTATGTGTAGAAGAACTCATACGAGTCATCTCCGGAACGGAACACTCTCAACACGTGCGCCGGTCTCCTATCGTTTCGCAGGGTAAAAATGTCGTCCCAGAAGGCCGTTCAGCTGTCCCTTGGGGCTGCCCGCTCGCTGAGCACGGGGCTGGCGCGCCTGCAGGCCGCCTCTGCTCAGGGTATGTTCGAGGTTTCGCGCTATCTTTTCGCCATCATCAGCAACCTGCATTTTGATCCGTCATACCGTAATGTCTCTTGCCTTGATCGCAGGCATGCTGGTTGCGAGCCAGGGTGCGGCGCAGGTGCGTGATGGGGGAATATCGGGACACTTATGTAGGCTTGCGTTCCGCGCGTGATTTGATAAGATTTAAGGCAACCATTAGTATTTATGATGTTGACCTTGTTTTTCTGTCCGGATTCGCAGGTTTCTGAGAAACCTGTGATGATGGCCACGCAGGTGTGCCGAGCCTTGGTTGTTGCCTTCATCTAACATGATCTGCCATAAATACGCCTTGCTTCGTTTATTTTGCAGGGCCCCATTCTTGGTGTCACACCCAGCGCCATCGCAAGCGGGATCCGCGCCCAGGCTGCTGCGAGCCCCATGTCGCTGCATAAGCAGGCAGTTCTGCCGAACTCCCTGGTTCAGGAGCGTGCCATGAGCGTGCTGGCGGCCTCTAAGATGGTTGGCGCTGGTTGCGCGACCATTGCTCTGGCGGGTGTGGGTGCTGGCCTGGGTGTCATGTTCGGCTCCCTCATTAACGGCGCAGCACGCAACCCCAACATCGCCAAGCAGCTGGTGGGCTACGCACTGCTGGGCTTTGCCCTGACGGAGTCTATTGCCCTGTTCTCGCTGCTGGTCGTCTTCTTGATTCTCTTCGCGTAAGGGTTTTCGGCAGGTGCAGCAGTTTTCGGACAGGTGTACTTCGCGTGCACGTGCACGGCGTGATGCTGGAATGCGGGTGAGGGAAATGCTTGGCACGGGCGGGCTTCGTCAGATGCTAAGCCTCACGAATCTCATTAATGGCCGATTATGCCTTACGTGGCGATGACGGGAGCTTAACAACACGGCTGTGAGGCGTGCGAGGGATAGCTTTGCTGGTGGCGAGGTATCGTAGAGTAGCAGTCGACGGAATATGCCAATGGGATGTGGGATGTATTGTCTGATAAGCATGTCGAACCTGCCTATTTGCGCTGAGGATACCAGTCAGTCGAATGATCATACCGCAGTATGCTTGACCTGTAAGCGCTTCGAATGATGGGGGTGCTTAGCCCCAGGTCTTGTCCTTTCGGTCTTGTGTATATCCGATTGTCGGGGATTTCGTCGGTAGGACACAGTGGTGCCTCTTGTTAATCCGATAGCCTCGACGCAACCGATGCATGCATACCCGTGTGCAGCATACATGTAATCTGTCCAGTGAACTAGTTCTATTTTGCCGTAGGCATGTGGTGTCCTATATCACTTAGACAGTTAAGTTCTGCTTTGTCCGCCATTGACAGCGCAACACCCCATTTCCCATACCGTATCGGCGAACTTGATACAGCACATGCCAACGAAGCAATAGCCCTGGGACTGAACACAGCAAATCAGTCACCGGTTAGCGCTGCCTGAATTTCTTTCGCCTGAACATCATCCCTTATTCCACGACCCCTCGTGAACGATAGTACTGAGGATTATCACCATTTATAACGTCGCGGCGTATGATAGAGCATCCCGCAGGGAACGCACTACTCCCACCGAACACGCACATTCAGCAGCAACGAGTTGCGCTTCAGTTCCGCCGGCCCCGTCCCCGCGATACCCGGTCATTAGCCCTTTGCCCCCTAAACAACTCATCTGCGGATTTCGCACGTGCGCTACTATGACCACCGCCACCGGCACGAAACGCGTCAAAGAGACCTTCCTCAATCAAATAAGTACCCGCTGTCCCACGGGTCCCAGCAGCCGCAGCAGCTTCCACCACGACATCCGCCCCCACCGCGGCATCATCATCCGCCTCATCTGCAGCAGCCGTCGTGGCTGCTCCACGCCTGGCCCGCGTACTACGTACCCTGCTCCGGGTCAGTGCAGCCAGCTCCGGCATTGTCCGCTCACTCTCGGGTTCCGGACCTGCTCGTGCCAAATCTGCCGCCTCGTCCGAGTCGGATTCCGGGCTTGAATTGAAGTTCGCGCTGCCACCCTTTCGCGCTCCGCCACGGCCGGCTCTACACGGTCAGGATAAGGATTGGGTCAAGCGGCTGACTCGCGCAGTACAGCATGCAGGCCTGCTAAGTATGCACGTGCCTCGCCTCGTGAAGGCATGCATCTCTCTCTTTCTTTCTCTCTCTCTCTCTCTCTCTCTCTCACACACACACACACACACATCGACTTGAACATTTGCGCGTTTACACAAAGCACAACACACCCACACGGCTACAGGGACGTACACACAAAGCTTTCCTATCAACTACAACAGCAAATCAGCCCTCGGTTCAATCACCTTCCTATCTACCCTACAGCCCTGTAGACAAAAACACACCTGCCAATGCCGGCGCCGCTGCGGCCACGTCCACCAGCGGCCCTCTTCCTGGAGCCCGGCCCCCCTCCTCCCCCTTCCTCTTGTGGCCCCGCCGCCGTCGCCGTCGCCGTCGACCCCGCCCAGCTGCAGATGGGGCAGGCTCGTGTGTCGTGCCTCTGTGCCGGACAGTGCTCCCTGCCAAAGTAAATCATCTGCAGGTGCAAGTCCCGCCTGTGGCAGAACAAAACATGATAACGAGGTAACGAGGCGAAAGAGGGTTGGGGGAACACGGCCTACACGAGTCATGGCCACGAGTGACACCGCAACCAGGGATGAACAACCGCATACAGGTGGTAGAAGAGGAGCCTTAGAGCGCCTCTTCTTCGTGCTACGGTTCACATCTTATACACAGCATGTCGCTGTCGTTCCCGGGCCCCTATCCCTGAACGCTCGAGGGGTATGTACCTCTCCGCCCAAGTCCCTCTCCTGCTATCTGCAGCTCCATTCCCCCCGGCTGCGGTCTGAGGGTTTCTTCCCTTCCCTACCCCCTCCCGCACCCCAGTCTCCACCCTACTGAAAATCCGGGGGTGAAACCGGCAAAACACGTCGGGAATATCTGGTTAAAGGGAAAGGCTATGACTCCAGTCATAACACCTATGAACCGGAAGGTTCCCTGCGTCAGTCCGTTCCCCTGGCCGAAGCTATTGACGGCTATGAACGACGGTTGGCGGCAAAGTCCGGGCCACTTTCCTTTCCTCTGTAGGGCAACCTACACCGAAAAGTAAAGTGGTCCTAGACACCTCTCCTTCGGTAGTACCTCGGAACAAAACCCCGGAGCTAACATTGCTATATAGATGGTGAAATGAGGCGATGATGCGGACGGCATGGGGTGACGGACGCACCAGGTGTGTTCAGGCAGCAAGGTCTTCAGGTCTTGCTCCTGCGAGGGGGGAAATGATGAGCGGGTGATGATGATGGGGTGATGACTGTGCAAACCCGACTTGAGGACACGGGGATAAAGGGGTGAGAAGAGTAGGTGCTTGGATTTGAAATGCTTTGCCCATTTTCGTTATTTTTGGCGGTAATTTACCTACCATACTGTTATTGTCAACTACCCATGAATATTTTCATTTACCCATACAATTTCTCTACACATTCGTACAAACACAGCACACCAAACTTTCATCCCCCATTACAAGGCACCATCCTCGTCCGATCCCACCTACCCCCCCACCCTTCCTGCACCTCTCACCTGACCTACCCGCCCCATCCCTATCCCTCCCCTCCGCCCTTGCGGTGCAAGGATACCCCCGAGGGCCCCGCTTGTTTCCACCGCCCCGCACACCACCGCCACCCTCAACATGGACACCCGCAGAAACCCCTACAGTTCCCGAACAGCCACAGCCCGAACCTGCCGGGTAGCCAGCAAAGCCCTACATTCCCCAAAACGGCCCCGAGGAGCGAATATCACCGCCACCGCAATGGGTCGTGATTCCCCCCTTCATCCCCCTGGAGACATGCGGTATGAGACAACCCCCCAGTCGCACCTTCAAGTTCCCTAAAGCTCTCCCCTAGTATCCCCGTGCCGTCCCACCGTTTGTTCGACACTCTTGCCGTTGGACAGTCCCCATCGCTGAGCCAGTCGGTGAATGTGCGTGTCGACAGGGAAGGCCGGGTGGCTGGGAGAGGGGGTAGGGGTAGGGGCAGGGGGAAAAGACGAACCACGAACGAGTGAAGGCGCTGCCAGGGCAAGAGTGTACCCGAGGTGGGGGCAGGGGGGAAGATGAAGACGGGGGGAGGTTAAGGAAGCCAACAACATGGATATTGCACTTCAATTCAGTTCAGCTTGCCTCAGTTCCATCATAAAAAAGTAAATAAAAGTGAGTAAGTACATGAGATGTACATGTACGACGTACCTAAATGCCTGGCACATGACCACACTCGCGGTCTTGTGGCCGACCCCTGGTAGCTCCTCCAGCGCCGAGAAGCTGTCGGGTACTTGACCGCCGTACAGCTCCACGAGCATCTGACGTGGAGAAGGGGGGAAGAGGCGGAGGTCCAATTGGCGACCCGCGGCGGAAACAAGGCGTGGCGCGGCGTGGCGTAGCGTGTGTATGTGTGTATCTGTGTATGAGGAGAGATAACATAGACTTCTTCTCTCCCTCCTGTCCTCCCGCCCGCCGGTCAGCGCAAAGTTCTGGGCCCCCTCTCCTGAAGCCCGCCACACCACCCAAACCCCAACCCCACACCACCTGACTCAAGCGCTGTACGTTCCTGGCCTTCGTCGGGGCCAGACCCAGTACCCGAATGATGCGCTCAATCTCGGAGACCTACGTTCAAAGAAAAACAGCAATCCCCCATGGTAAGAAAGCTTATACGGCAGCTTGTACGGCGGAGTACGGACCTGGGAAGGCACCGGCAGACACTGCATCCTTCCCCCTTCAACCCCGCTGCCCCCATCAGGAGGCAGGAGGCAGCGATGGGAAGTTGGGCCAGCAGCTGGCACGTACGACCGTACCTTCAGCGCAGCCATGGCCATCGCATCGGGCCCTCGGGCGAACAGCTCCGGAGTCACCGTGTTCACCTTGGCATCCGTACTTTGGGCCGACAGCACAACCGCAACCTGCCGTACGCCGGCGTCAGCGCCGTACAACAACGGTGCAAAAACCGGATAACATGTGTTTTCGCCCAGCCGCCACGGCCGTCGTTTCAAAACATCATACCGTGGGGTTGGGACAGAGGAGAAGTGACAGCAATCCTAGCCCGGAATCGCGGGAGGGAAGTGCGGGGTTTCGCCATAAGGCCGGTGTAGTGCAGTTGCGCTTTAGCTGTCTGTGTGTGGTTTATTGGAGAGCCGTTTTTTGGCTAAGAAACCCCGGGTGTAGCTGGATTGGCGCTGGCGCTAAGAGATTACCGCCATGCGCTCTGTGTTGACTGGAGGCGCAAACCCAAGGGGGGAGGGGGCCTCCCACCGAACCCCCAAACCGTGGGCCTACCACGTGCCATACCCCTTACAAGACTCCGTAAATCAAATTTGGACAAGTAGGACCCCCTTCTCACCCGCAGACATATTCAACCCCGATCCCTCTCCCTCATGTCCCGCGATTCCGATCCCGCGGCAACCCGCACCCCGGTGCGCCCAGCTGCTGCTTCCCTACCAGCAACTGGAACGTGCTGCCATGGTGTAATGGGATTGGAGGAGACGGGTACAGTTCTGAAAGTTGTTGTTGGATTCGGAGCGCCTTGGCGCGGAGCTGGGAGAGGACGTCGGGGTGGAAGCTTGGGGCTGCGGGCAGTGGCTTGGGCTTCTTTTTCAGGGGTGTGGGCGTGGTGGGTGTAGGCGCGGATACGGGTTCTGGAGTGTCGGTTGTATTCGATGCGCTTTGGGGATTGGCGGGGGAAGGAGAAGCGGATGCTGCGGCTCCAGCTGCGGCGGTTGGAGAATCGGTGGCGGGGGGTTGCTGTGCTGCTAAGCCGGCGGGCTCGGTGGAGGGGGGAATGCTGCGTGTGCGCTTCGCGCCCCGTGGCATCCCAGTTGTCGTCAAAAAAGGAAAAGGTAGTAAATTATATATGTGCCGCGTAGTACTTTCGCTGGGAATGAGATGCGCCAAGCTATTACAACGGCGAACCAACATCACCTCACACAGGCGTCTGCTGCATGGAAACTGTTATCTTCATGATCATAATAATTTGGATAATGAAGAGTTGTCTTGCTTCGGAAGCTCATACGTTGCGACGACCTGTCAAAACATGTGCGCGTTGCCGTGCACATTCTTTATTTGGCTAAGATTAACAGGATGTAAGTCATCTTGCCATCCAGCTGGTCAACAGATCCGCAGTTCACGCCTTTCGTTAAGCAGCCTAGGGACTTGACTTCACTTGGAGGGTTCTTCATCAGGTACGGTGGCGGAGGGCTTCCGTAAGGACGCCGGAGCCCTAGCCGCGCAACCACCCGCAAAAGCGCGAAGTCCTTTTCGCTCGTGTTCCCCGGCATCCCGTGCAACCCCGTGCATCCAGTGTTAAGACTGCCCTCAATGAGTCCGTCTCCTTCTTCATTATCACGAAACTTGGGGGGAAGCAACGCGGGAAGTGAGGGGGAAGCGCAGGTGACTCGGTGGGATGACTTAGGCTCAATTGTATGGAACGATATTCCACACGCCCACGTGCCCATTGACCGGCCGCACCACTCACAGCAGCTATTCATAGATTTTACTTCATTCAAATAATTATTCTATCATAACCCGCGATGGTATGGTGAGGTAAGGCAAACGAGGTATGGTGAGGGAACATCGGGCCTCCCCTTGCGCCACTCGCAATGACCAGCGTGTATTCAAACTGCTACAGCACCACGACGACGTGCCTTTTGTGAAGAAGGTGGCGTATTTTAGCAACGAATAGTGGCAGATACTGCAATTTAGAACTGATTGTTGAACTTTGTACGATTGGGTGTAGGTAGGACGCGTGCACGACACAAACCACGTCCCAGTAACGCTAATCCGTGCACCGGATGCTTTAATATCTTGGTTCAAATTATGTGTAGTTCCATATTATATATATTATATATCCATGTTTGAGCTCCGGGAAATTCTTAAGCATATTAAGCTGGAACAGGCCTGAAAGACTGCAACAGAATTCGGTAACAGTACTTGTACCATCTATAGTTTCACCGTGTTTGGTTTCGTAAATTTCATTCCAATCCTCTTAGCAGTATTAGCACAAATCAGACGAAATCAGAAACGCTTCTCTGTGACGCCAGTTTGCTTCTAGACGTTTTTCGAGCGGCGGTTGTCCCGACGAATGAGTGGGCTTCTTGCAATCCTTGGATGTGCCCGGGACAACAAGGAGGACGATCTGCGTCGACTTGTCACCGATGGCATGGCTGTTGACACCGCGAATGAGGTGCGAAATGATGTAAAACGCACCTAGCCAGGCCGCATAGTGCACATGTTGCGCCGCTCATATTCACGTGTATCCATCACAGTTCGGGCAAACGGCTCTGCACGTGGCCTCTTTGTGGGGCAACTTGGAGGCCATGAAGGTGTTGGTGGAGCTTGGGGCTGATGTCAACAACCCGAACAGCAGGTGGGGCCCGTCTCTCATGGATCTAGGAAAGCTGATCAAAATTGTGGTCCAAACAGCATCAGCATTTCGGGGGCTGCTCTTCTCATTTGGGTTCCATACCGCCCGCTCTCCATCCCCTCCATGTCCTCCATCGGTAGCTCACACTTCCTTGTGCGTCCCCCACCCACCCGCCCACCCGCTCGGCAGGGGCTCTACCCCGCTTCACTTCGCCGCCAGTGCCAAGCGTAATGCCCTCGCCGCATGCCAGCTGCTGTTGGACGCGGGGGCGGATACTGAGGTAAGGGCGGTCGGGCAGGTGGAGGGGGGTGGAAGGAAGAGAAGGCTTTCCCAGGTGGGGGAGGACAGGGGAATAATTTGCTTAGTCGCGAGACAAAATGTGTCTCAAAAACACGCACACCACATCGCACACACATCCTCTTGCTCTCCTGACGTACCCTTCCGAACTCAAAAGTTACAAGTTATAAGTGCCGCACACAAGTGCGGGTGTGTCCGTAAACGCCGGGGGGGCCACGGACGTTGTATTGGAAAAAAGCAAAGCAGTTACAAAGAGCTGTCGCCGTCACCTCCCCGTCATACGCCCAGCTCGGCCCCCACCTCCCCTCCGCCTCCGCGTCCGCCTCTTCTCCTCTCGGTCTCCTCCTCCTCCTCCTCTGCAACTTCGGGACGCTTTGCTGACTGGGCCTTGTAGTGGAGCACCCCCCAATAACAACAGCAGTACCAGTACTACCAGTGCCGGTGCTACCAGTAGCAGGACCAGTACTAGCAGGACCAGTACTAGTATCAACACCACCAGCTTGATTGAGGGAGGAAGGTGGTGATGGTGGTGATGAGGGTAACGATGAAGGCCCGGGGGGACTCTCTAGCCAACACCATACGGACCGCCGTCCCTCCAACCCCCTCACTCACTCGCTCGTCCCTCCACCCCCCCGGTGATGATGCTTTCTGCACTCCCTCCCCCACTGCCCATCATTGGTGTCCTCAGGCGGTTGACTTGATGGGTCGCCAGCCCTACGAAATGGCCAACGAT